TGACCGCTCTGGCATAGCCCAATGAACATAGAAAGGTCATGAGTTCGCCTTGCTGCAATTCCGATTTCGCACTGTGAAGAAAACAACCATCTTGATCATGAATATCATCATGGCAGAAAAGATAATGATTCAGATCCGTAGGTTCCTCATGAGTGTTGATGCAGAGGAAGAGGTTGTGTGGCTCACAGGAAAATACTTGGCAAACAAATCCCCAATGCCGGAGCTCTTGTTGAACTTGGTCGCAGTCACCCGGCATGTCCACTTCAAGTGGAGATGGCATGGTGCCCGGGCCTGATGCTGCCATAATACGTACGGCAGTCTTGGCAGGTATCAAGTGGTCAAGCTCAATGGTAAATTTGTTTTTGCGGTTTACACTCTTTTGCAATAGTCCAACTTCTTCATCTTCAAATTGCTCCCAAACTTGCGCTGGAACTGCAGTGCTAGGACCAGGCAACTCCTGATAAATGAGCACAATGGATAGTCCATGCCAGTTCCTCAACGCAACTCTTCCACGTAGTTCGAAGTCGCCATGCCAAGTCATACATTGCAGATGAGATCTTTCGGGATAACAGCTGTCAATGTAGTTGATCGCGACAATGACATCATCCTTGCTCAAACGGATGGGCGCAAAAGTTGCAATATCTTGTACCCCTTCAGGAAGTCGTGGGTCAACAATCGTGAACAAGTTGGCAACTTGGTCATGAAGTGACCTTTGCACAACAATAAGATGTAGTGCGCCTCTGGATCTCCGACTGGTCGCTGGAGGCTGTGGTCTGACCAAATAAAGATTGATGGGCCAAGCAGCATCAATGCGGTCATCCCAAACTTCAAAGATCTGTTGGGCCCACCTTGTGAAATCCCATGACAATTCAACTTCTCTAGGCTGAGTGCATGTTGTGAATCTCTCAAAGTCCAAAAACCATGTATGGACAACAAGCGACAGTGTCTCGTCTGTTGGCTGTTGCGCCAATTGATGCGTCCAAAGTTGATAGAGCTCCTGAATGGTTGCTGGCTGCGCTAATAGTCCTTCTTGAGGATCAGCTGGGAATTCTTGTAGAAGTTCCTGATCAGCTCTGGTCAGCGAAGCATAGTCAGGCAGTTCCTCATCAAGGCGATCAAATGGACACGTAAGAAGATCTTGACCCAAAGTGCTTTTGAAATCACCACGCAAACAATTGGGATAGTCCTGCAGTGCTGGTGTACGATGTGTATCCAGCTGAAGGAAACTTTGCTCTTCACCTGCTTGCATTCGAAATTCACGGGGTAACCGTGGTGGGTCAATGACATAGTCATACCAGCCCAACAAGTACATGGTGTGCCGATCAAGGACATCTTGAGGTAGCAGTCCCCGGTAAAAGGCCGTAGCTACGCATCTAGTGGAGATGTGGTCAAACCTATCTCCCGGCGGAGGAACTGCAATCCTCAGAAAATCACCATGCACCAAGTGAAGCTGTTGATGGCCTTGGGCAATCAATTCATTGTTCTTCCATACCAAACATCTATTCTGAAGGTGTTGACAGAAGGGCTGAAGCCCTAGCCAATGAAGTAGTTGAAATCGTGTGGTGCCTGTGACAAAGACTCTAGCTTGCCGTACCACTTCGGGCACTGACGCAATGTTGCTGGAGTGGAACTCAACGTCAACTAGCACAATTCTTTCCATTGATCCTGCTGCAATGTCAGTGGCACGCTGCACTACTACAGGTTCAACATATGCTTGAAAAAGATCATCAGGAGGATGTCGTACACGATGAACATGATAAATATCCGCTGGAAAAAGGTGAAGCTCATGGGCAATGCTGTCATGAACAAGGTCATAGTTACGCCAATCCAAGCGCAATGTGGTGGCCTGTCTGCGCAAAGCAAAGATCAGCGTAGTTCTCCAACTGCTTCGAGTTTGGATGTCTGCCGACCATGAATCTTCTGATAGTGCTTCATCCTCTGTCACTTCGACATTTACTGCAATTGCTCCTTGATCGATGATTTGTGGCTCAGGAACACGTTCTTGGACAGGTGGTGGTCCAACATCGTGATGCGCCATGAAAGAAGTGTAATCAACTTCCCAATCATGATGAAAGATTGATGCTCTATGATATGGAACTTCTAGAGCATGAGGCCATTTCCCAAACTCAACTGTGTCCTCTGGGCCCACATAGAGGTCTACAGTGGTGGCAAATCGCAATTGTCTTCGGCGTCGGGAGTGGTTGACCGGCTTGAAAATGGTCCAATCGTTGTCATGCAATGAACAACCCAGCTCAAAAGCAAGATCGATGGCCTTGATACTAGCCTTCCACTCCGACACAAAGATGTCCTTTGATACAATGCTATGGGTCCAAATCGGCGCCTGGCAAACCTCAGATTTGTCTATTTGCCCGCCACTGCAAAAGGCTGCAGCATTCTGGCACCCGGCCCAGAGGGCCCAGATCCAGGTTCTCCAGCCCCAGCTTCTGTGCTTTCTGTTCTTGCTTTCTTGGCAGCATGCTCGTTGATGTCGTCTGGTGGCCGTACACGGACAGCTTCCAGATTCTGCACCATCGCATTGATGCCTGCCAGAATGCGCTCGGACGTCTCCACCTTGGATTGCTCTTCGTCCATCTCTGATTCCATGAGCTCGTCCTCCTTGGTGAGATCTTTGTCCCTGTTGGACAACTGCTCCTTGGTCTCGTCGAGACATTGTCGAGCTTCCTGCAATTTTTCCTTGGTCTGTTGGACCTTGGTCTCTAGCTCGCGATCTTTCTTGCCGAAGTCCTCCGCAAACGTGGTCCATCTCTTGATGGATTCGTCGAGGTACTTCGTCCACGACTCGTGAAGGTTCTGCCGTGCCTTCAGTGCGACGTGATATTTGTCGCGTGCTTGGTCCAACTTCTTGACAGCTGTGTGCATTTGGCGAGATGATGCAGTCTTCACTGATCCTTCCTCGACCAATTGTTGCACTTCTTCGGAGTTTTCCTGTTTCTCCAAAGCTGCAAGTAAACGATTGTACTTGTTCTCGAGGTTGCTGTCGGTTGGTCTTGCAGTGCTCTGTGATGGTGCAACTGGGACCTGTCCAGTTGTTTTGCTGCTCCAAGGTGGATCTAGCGCCGGAGTCAAAGAACTTTCCTTGCTTTTCTTCTTTCTTCTCGATTTGGGGGTTTGTGCCCTTCTGGAACTGTGCGGCGATGCCGAAACTTTCCTGGACGCTCTTGCGGTCCCATCGACATCTGGCCAATCCGTATAGGTCCAATCCTCTTCTGGTTTGGCTCGTCCACCATGTATGTAGGTGTGGTCGATGCAAATGTGCCATTGATAATCGCATCTCCCACATCTCAATGCCTTGGCTTTGTTGAGCCTCATGCACCATTTGCATCGCCACGGAGTAGTCTCGGACATGGCAGCAAGTATGGTCTGCAAATAACTGTTGTCCCTGGAATGATGCTTGCACAAGGTGAGGTATATTTGAGTCAGTCTGTGATGATCCAGAATACGCAAGCCCTTCTTGTGTAAATGGAAAGCACGTCTGGCTCTCGCCCTCGCCCTCCTTGATAGCCTTCTTTGAGTAGGCGGTATCGTGCTCTGCAAAGCGAAATTTATTCTCAGGGTTCCGAATCGAAAGAAAGCTGAGGAAGATCAGAAACCACCAAAACATACACAGTAATGTCCTTGAGGTCAATGACTGCGAACAGTACAATGAAGCAAAAGGAGAAATACCCGATGAAATAGGTGCAAAGGAACACTGTTGCAATATACTGACCAGGGCGACACCAGTTCAGTCAGTACCCAGGAATCATGCTGCTGGGACAGCACGCCAAAGCCACCAGTCGCTCACGAAGCCGCCAAGCGCCAGCGGGATGGCAAGGCAAACAGGATCCCGTGGAAACACACCCAAGAAAGGGTTCCACTAAGGTCAAGCAGCGGGGGGCCCCTAGGACAACTGTTCGTCCGCTTGAGCTTAACCTTGAGCCAAAATGGCTACGGACATTCCCAGTCATGGCTGGTTTATGACATTGTTTTACCCACATTATCCACATTACCAGTATTATTTGTTGATTCTTTCACCACAATCTCCGACACCACTTTCCTGTCCTTGTCCCGTCAGTGCCATCATGCTCTTTGGCAAGTTTGCGCTCCCTGATGTGGGTCCATAGACGAAGCCAACAAAAATGGGATAATGTTGCAAAATGCCGCAAAATTGGAAAACACCAGCTACTTGTGAAAATATCTTCTCTTGCCGAGCAGCCATGCTTCGACATTTTCCTTGGAGTCCTCAATGTACTTTCGACGTGCATGCAACATATTGTGCAGCTCGTGGCTGAAACATTGGAAGCCATCATCGCCACAGTCTTCGTGGTAGCTCCAATCCAACAGCAACAAGGGTTTGGAGCTGTACTTGTCGAGGAAAGGTCCCAGAGTATGGAGGTCCAAGACAACATTTCCATCGAATTCCACCAGCCACTCCCACTCACCATTCCTCACCGTGACGCTGACCCGAAGAAAGTAGCAATCCAAAGGTTTAAACAAGATTCATTGGCATTCATTGGCATTGGCTTCAAGTTTATCTTGGATGCTTTCGAAAAACCGGCAATGATTGATGCATATTGATGCAAGGTGCAGAAGCCAAGATGGTGGAGTGAATTTTAAGAGTTTGGACGTCAAACGGGCACCAGTCACGAATTCGCTTCCCGCTTGCAAGGTCACGGACTTGACTTGCCAGCCCAGTTTTTTCCAAAGGTTCAAAGAATTTGAGTCCGTGCGTTCCTTCGTATCATCATCTAAAAATAGAAAGGCCTGAGTAGGGCTGCAAAAATGTGCAAAAAATCGGGACCTTGCGAAACGTCAATTTCGAAGGCAGAAACCAAAGGGTTTGGAATGAAATTCAAAACAATGGCGCCATATTTTGTCTAAGGCACGTCCACATTGCTGGGGACACATGGTACATTGTCATCTCGCATACCACCTTCATAGGATCCAATGTTGTAGGTGTAAACCTCAGACGGTATAAGATAACAAATGAACTAAATCAACCACTGCAAAAATGTTCAAGTAGCAACACACAAGTAACAACTAAATTCTTGAGGCACAGACAGCAATGTGTTTCCTTGCGTAGTCGCCCAAGGATCTTGTTCTGTGAGCATCGCAGGTATATTCCTCTCTGCAGTTCGGAATCTCTTTCATCTCATCAACTTTCAAATGACTGATTGCGTGCTGCGCGTGTTCGCCACGTTTCTTCGTGGAAAGGCGCTTGGCGTGACCATGTTTGGCATGGTGAACTTCAGGACGTTTCAGCAAGTCAAATTTGCCATCATGCCTCAAGCAAGGCGATTCCACAAAGTTCCCAAATCACTTCTCGCGCCAATCCACAATTTATTGCACTTTCAACTCCAAGTGACCGGATAGCAACATCTCTTCTGATCAGAACATTCTCTTTGCAACTCGCCAAAACCAAATTTACCTGACCAACGCGGGGTCGCATCAAAACTCATCAAAATGTTCAACAGTTGTGATTCTGCCATGGTTCCATGGTTGATCAACCACTGAGTGCTGCACCAAGACAAGAAAAACGCATGGCCATCGGGATCCGCACATCGCCATACAGCCTGGGCGACGCGAAAAAAAACGGAATTGTCTTGGGATTTTTTTTGGATTTCCAGCCGTGTCCATTTTCCATGCTATCTGCAGCAATCTGGAGTTGGAAACTGCCATTTCAACGGTATTTACAACGTTTTTGAGTTCGAACATCTCATTTTCCATGGTATTTGCAGCACTTTGGTGCTCAAACTGTTCATGCGACATGCTAGTTTGCAACTGGGGTTTATGTAGTAAGGTTTTTTTAAGGGTTGGTTTAAGTTTTTTTGAAGGTTGGTTTAATTTAAGGTGTGTTTGGGGTTGGTTTAAGGTTTGTTTGAGGTTGGTTTCCGGTTTATTTATATAGGTTTGGTTTAAGATCTATTTAGGGTTGGTTTGGATTAGGGTTGGTTTTAGGGTTCATTTTTTTAGGTTTGGTTTAAGATCTATTTAGGGTTGATTTAGTGTTTATGTGGGTTTGGTTTAGGATCTATTTAGGTTTGGTTTACAATTTATTTAGGGTTGGTTTAGGGATTATTTAGGGTTGGTTTAGGGTTTGTTTACGGTTGGTTTAAGGTTTGTTTGGGGTTGGTTTAGGGTTTATTTAAGGTTGATTTAGGCGTGGTTTAAGATCTATTTAGGGTGGGTTGGTTTGGGAATTATTTAAGGTTGTTTCACTTTTATTTAGGGTATGTTTAGGGTTCACTTAGGGTTGTTTTAGTTTTTTGGGTAGTTGGTTTAGGGTCTATTTACAGTTGATTTAGGGTTGTTCTAGGGTTTATTCATATGATGTTTTTTAAGGTTTATTGATGGGACAAAAAACTGCGAAAAGCAGAAGAACCCGGAAAAGCAGAAAAGCGGAGAATCAAAAAAAAACAGAAAAACTAGCAAAAGCAGAGAAAAGCAAAGAAAGGCAGAGAAAGCAGAGAAAAGCAAAGAAAAACGGAGAAAAACTGAAAAAAATGGAAAAGGAACAGAGTAAAAAAGAAAAGCGGACAAGCGAAGAAGTAAAAAAACAGGGAAAAAAACAAAGAAAAAGGGATCGAGATATCAAAAAAACTATATAAACGGAAAAGAAAATATAAGGGGAGTATATATATATATATATATAATTCCCTAAACGAATAGCCCTCCTTTGCAAAATCCATTTCCGCAAATTCAAGTGTCATCGAAAGTCAAAAGTTCGTTTTCGCTATAAAAATGGTGCTACCAATGTGAATCTATCGAATTCGGGGAAAACCTTATGTTATTCCGGTTGTTCCCATCCAAGATTTGCGCGAAAACTCCCCACCAAAGCTGATGCAAAGCCACCGGATCGCACACGTCGCGGTGGCTTCGGCTGGGTGGCCTACTAGAAACGACATGCCTGAAAGCCTCGACAGAGGTTCCCACATCATCCATGTCCGGCACCGTGGTCTTACACCAATTGGTAGTTATGGATGTTGGTCATCCCAGTCGCATGATACCCAGTTTCGTTTGACAAAAACAACCATGGAAATTTGCAAGAGAAATTTGAACAAAATTCCGAACCAAATCACAAACAAATGCAACTACACAGGGATAGTTGTAAACAAGGGTTCTGTTTTTTTGCAAGTTTGCGTTTCAAAAGTCGGTCTACCAAATTCAATAGATCCTACGCATACCCTCTGCACATAAAACGTTGGATCGAGCGTGGCAGTTTAAGTTACCAGTGCGTGGAACGTTGGCGACATGGTGACCAACGGTTTGCACTGTCCTTACTTCAGTTCTAAAAGGTCATGGCTCATAACATGAAACAAAGCCAAGAGTGCAAAAATCAAACACTATAGACTACCAGTAGTATCCGCACGAGGCGGGGCGGAAGTTGCCTTAAAGATATATATAAGAACTTTCTCATCTATAGAACATGCGTGCGCCGTGCGCCAGCCAAGCCCGTGCGCGCGTGCACTCTGCGAAACTGGTGTCTTGTTTCACATGTCACATTTGAAGCTCCACGTCACACTTCACACTTGACAGTCTTCACACTTCCCACTGCACTCTTCACACTGCACCCTTCGCAGTCAACACTTCACTTCACGCTGTACTCTTAAGACTCCACACTTCACACTTCACACTCCACACTTCACACTGCACTCTTCGCACTCCAAACTTCACACTTCACAGTCCACACTTCACGCTTCACACTTCACACTTCACAGTCCACACTTCACACTCCACACTTCACACTGCACTCTTCACGCCCCACACTTCACACTGCACCCTTCACACTCCACACTTCATCTCATCTCTTCTCATATGTCATCTAAGCTTTCATGAATGACTTCCCAATACTACTAGAAAGGAACTTGCATGCGCAGTGCGCCAGCCAGGCCTGTGCGTGCGTGCTTTGTTCGGACCTGTTGCAATGTTGTTGCCCAAGAACATAACCTGCGCGCATCCCCGGTGCAATGCAACGTCACGCAAGCACTTTCCTCACACATCACATTGCACCCTTCACACTTCACATCTGAGCTCTTTTCATCTGGTTTCATGTCTTCCCATATGTCAGCTACGTTTTTCTTGGCTATGTTCATGTCATCTGAGCGCAGCTCAAACTTTCTCATGCGTTGGACCTACTTTCAACTTATCTCGGCGCTTCTGCACGTCAGCAAGGTTGAGCGTAACTTATGTCGATTCTTCTACATGCCAAAAGGCGTAGACCATAAAATTTACAATATTGAGGTCATTCATGCCAAGCGTTGATGCATTGCATCAAATCGCAACGGCAAGTGTAAACATGGTGTAGTTGTTGCCTGTCAAGGAGATTCACGCAGTCCAAGCTCGACAGCTGCTTTTTTCTCTGCGCTACACTTGGTCGTCTGGGCTTTTGGCAGCTTTTTCGGCCCGCATTGGCACGAAAGGCTGGAGAGCTTATCACGGTTGGCCGTCATGGCACTTCACGAAGCAAATCAGGCAAGAAGTTCTCACTATCTGTAATGACATTGCGGACCCAAGCTGCATCTGCTTGCGACAAACGACATTCTGCACCTGCTCGGTAAGCACTCAACAACATGGCCGCAGCGTGCACACCATCATCTGTCAGGGCGGGCAACGCAGCGCTGTTCTGCCAACGTATCGTCTTGTTCCGTGCAAACAGTTGTGAAGGCTTCGAAACAACCAGCGCAGAGTCCATATTTGAAGTAACCCAAACCAATATTCCTGCGCTCCTCGGTTGGGATACTTCGTCTGCACGCGAAGCACCGCGAATTTTGCAACGCGTCGTAGACGTGCAATGCAATCTTCAAGCTATGCTTGAGCGCTGCCATTTCTTCGAAGCCAATATCAATCCTCAAGTTTTGCGACCCACTTTGCGTTGCAGCAAGTTTCTTCGGTTGGCGCTCTGCAGCACACAAGCATTCGCTGTCGAAGCAGCGCTCACGTTGCTGAGCGCATGGAGATCCAGCAATTCGAAATCGAATGCAAACCGTCAGACGCCGCAAGGTCCGATTGCCATGGCGGTTGCCCTCGTGGACCGGCAAAGCGATTCTCTAACAGCAGAGCGAAGCTGCAATATGAGTTTCCTGTCGTGTAACACAGTAAGTAGAGACATGGAGGTATAGCAAGGACATGTGCGTCACTGCATGAACTAAAAATATTCCGTGCGACTTCTCTTGCTGTACTTTATCCTTTGAAGCCATCACTTCAAACAGCTGCAAGCACGTCAAACCAGAGACACGACATCGATGCTGGCATTCAGTCTATCATGCATAAACACATCGTTGCAGTGTGGAGTAAACAGTGCTTCACATAACAGGAAACATCCAACAATCCATGCACTCATCCTGTTCTGATTCGCATTCCCCAGTTTCTTCACAAACTTTGAATTCCTCATGTGTCCTTTTTTACCATGCCTTTTTGTGCTTGGCATCACACAGAAACTATTTTATTTTTGCATCAAACACCATTGAAGCTACACGTCTTTACTTCAGAAGTAAGCAGAACTCAGAACCCAGCGCGATGCAGACCATGGACCTTTTTCATCTCACTCTGAATCCTTGGCAACAATCATGCCTTGATCACGCGGCCCGCACTGGCACGCGCGCCATGGCAGTGAGTGTCCTGCACGCGCAAGCATCAGCGATGCAACAGCAGATCGTCTTTGTCCAGACAACCAGCCATTACAATGCGATCTGCAGAGAATGAGTTGCAAATCACAATACAAGGGAGGCCCCCACCGTGTCTCCAAAAAGTCTGCTGATTTCAGGTGCTAGAAACGAACCCTCTGGACATGGCGAGGTGCTGCTCCTAAAGTGACAGAAAGATCAGCAAATGTGGAAACACTTTCCCTGTACATTGCCAAATTTTGAAGGGTGCAAAGGTGCAACTTTTTCAGGGTAGGAAACAGAACCTTTATAGTTTCTTATTCACACTTCCGAAAGTTGCACCTTTGCACCCTGGTTTTAATCTATCTATTTTGTAGACGCAAAATAACAGAAATTGACCGCGCTGTTATTCCATCCGAAGTGGTTAGACTGGAACCTTATCCGCCACAATTTCTCAAATTTGGGCACGTTCCCCCGCACCCCTCCAAACAATGATTGAGAAAAATAAGATAATGATTCTTTGCAGCATCTGCACTTTGATCTTTGTTTCGGGGGGAAGGGGGGATGCCGGGCCTGTCACATGCACTTGTGCCAGCTCAGGAGTCCAAGAGGTGGTCGTTTGGACGGCTTTTACTTCTGCCTGTCATTCAGAAGGGTCTATTTTTGGGCCCGAAAAAGTCAAGAAAAATTAGACACGCAAATACGGGCCTCCCCAGTTCAAGATTCCTGCCACGGATGCTGTTTGTGTTAAAGTAGCTTCAAGCTTGACATTTTGCGCACATAGCAGCTTGCAAAGCTTCAGCACATCTGACAAAATGAAGGGACCAAAAACAAGCCCGCCAGGAGGGACCACTTTTGATTCTAAGAGGGTCCACTTTTGGGTCCCTTCTGAAATATATTTGCTTTGCGCAAGGGTCCAAAACTGGGCCCTCAGCATTCTGAATCTGGTGCCTCCCTGGGGGCTTGTTTGACGCCCCATTCAAATACTCTCTTGAGGCGCGTTGTTGGAATCAGGCCACAAACATCAGCGTCACACATCATAGCAACTACGAGTTGGCAACCAGGGCCTCGAACAGTTCAAGATTCCTGCCACGGATGCTGTTTGTGTAAAGTAGCTTCAAGCTTGACATTTTGCGCACATAGCAGCTTGCAAAGCTTCAGCACATCTGACAAAATGAAGGGACCAAAAACAGGCCCGCCAGGAGGGACCACTTTCGATCCTAAGAGGGTCCACTTTTGGGTCCCTTCTGAAATATATTTGCTTTGCGCAAGGGTCCAAAACTGGGCCCTCAGCATTCTGAATCTGGTGCCTCCCTGGGGGCTTGTTTGACGCCCCATTCAAATACTCTCTTGAGGCGCGTTGTTGGAATCAGGCGACAAACATCAGCGTCACACATCATAGCAACTACGAGTTGGCAACCAGGGCCTCGAACAGTTCAAGATTCCTGCCACGGATGCTGTTTGTGTAAAAGTAGCTTCAAGCTTGACATTTTGCGCACATAGCAGCTTGCAAAGCTTCAGCACATCTGACAAAATGAAGGGACCAAAAACAGGCCCGCCAGGAGGGACCACTTTCGATCCTAAGAGGGTCCACTTTTGGGTCCCTTCTGAAATATATTTGCTTTGCGCAAGGGTCCAACTGGGCCCTCAGCATTCTGAATCTGGTGCCTCTCTGGCCCCCTGGGGGCTTGTTTGACGCCCCATTCAAATACTCTCTTGAGGCGCGTTGTTGGAATCAGGCGACAAACATCAGCGTCACACATCATAGCAACCACGAGTTGGCAACCAGGGCCTCGAACAAGGGAGGTCCCCACCGTGTCTCCAAAAAGCCTGCTGATTTCAGGTGCTAAAAACGAACCCTCTGGACATGGCGAGGTGCTACTCCTAAAGTGACAGAAAGATCAGCAATGTGGAAACACTTTCCCTGTACATTGCCAAATTTTGAAGGGTGCAAAGGTGCAACTTTTTCAGGCTAGGAAACAGAACCTTTATAGTTTCTTATTCACACTTTCGAAAGTTGCACCTTTGCACCCTGGTTTTTCTCTATCTATTTTGCAAAATAACAGAAATTGACCGCGCTGTTATTCCATCCGAAATGGTTAGACTGGAACCTTATCCGCCACAATTTCTCAAATTTGGGCACGTTCCCCCGCACCCCTCCAAACAATGATTGAGAAAAATAAGATAATGATTCTTTGCAGCATCTGCACTTTGATCTTTGTTTCGGGCGGGAAGGGGGGATGCCGGGCCTGTCACATGCACTTGTGCCAGCTCAGGAGTCCAAGAGGTGGTCGTTTGGACGGCT